ATGTTTCTGTGCTGGTAAATGAGAAGGGCAGGATTTCTCTCCAGGTGGCTCTGGCAGGTAGAGGGACAAGCGGTGCTGCCTGGAACCAGTGGGTGTGGGGTCTGGCTGCACAGCCCGATGGTGCCGAGTGGCCTACAGCTCTGCTCAGCAGGACTTAGGGTGGCCCCGTGTGAGGCTGCAAGAAGGAATCTCTTGCTCATCTGCCCCAAGGCCCCACTGATGCCGACCCCAGGGAGACAGTGTGGAGGGACGCTGGCCTCCAGGAGGAGGAGGGGTCTGGGGTGGACGTGGGGTCCATGGCTGCTCCTCAGACCATGAGGAAGGGACTGGTGTAGACAGTGTGTGTCTGGTGGGGGCGAGCCTGTGTGGGGCCACCCCCGCAAGCCATGTCGGGGGTAGGGAGACCCAGGCAGCCGCTGCAGCTCCCCCCGGGTCTGGGTCCCTGAGTGAGTTTGTGAACAGAGTCTTAGGGGCTACCAAGCAGAATTTGAAAACACTGCCCCCAAGGAAACTCAGCCAACTTGCCAGAGCCCCCGTGCAAGCTGGGGCCCCTGAGAACAAGAGCCCTGCCCCTCCTTGGTGAGTCTGTGGCCAGCAGCCTGCGCCATGTCCAGAGCCCGCACACCGGGCCGCCTGGCGCCGCCTGCCCACGCACTGCAGCCCCTTGCTCCCTCGGACCCCTGAGCGCCCTGCTGTCCACCCCAGGTCAGTGGGCGAGCTTCATGGTGAATCCCTGTGTTTAGAATGGCTTTTTGTCGTCGTGTGTGGTTGTCACTGGTTTTTGGCCTCCTTGACCAAGAGCGACTTTGCTCCTCCCTTCGTGGTTTCCCTCCTGGGCTTTGGGCAAATGCCATTGTCCCACTTTATGAAGGGGACAGTCCCCAGGGCCCTGAGGATGTCTGAGCAGGAGAAGGCCGAGGGCTTGAGGCTTGTGGGGCCCAGGGCGGTGGCTCAGGCTGTCCCCACCACGGGGGACGTAATTTACACCCCCCCCCCCAGGTCCCCCATCCTCGGTGGGGGTTGCAGGGTTTGGGCTGGCCGCGTTCCTGGCCTGGAGGCAGCTGCTCCTGAGGGGGACAGCTGACATTCCTTCATGCGGGGTCTGCCCTCAGCCCAGAGCCGTGAAAACGGGAATCCTCAGCTGTAACCGGAACCTTCCATGAGTACACCGGGCCCTGTGTGTGGAGGGGTCCTACGGTGACTCGTTTCTGTAACAAAGACGCCCTCTGTGAAGCCCCCAGTGGGCCTCACGTTATCTGCTGCGGGCCAGAATTGTCCTATCCATCAAGTCTGTTCGAACAGGGCATGGGGGACTTGCGCAGGAGGGAGAGGAAACTGCGGAAAATGTTGGAAACTTCCCTAATAAACACGTAACCGGATCCCGAGCCAGTGGTCTGAGGGCCGCGCTCCCGGCCGGCGGGGCGGTGTCTGTCCGCTGGGGCCCCGTGCAGAGGGAGGAACACAGGCCCCCTGGGATGGAGGAGCTTGCGGGTGTGCTCGGCCTGCAGTGCTCCCAGTCCTGGGGGGCAGGGGCACGTCCACCTGCAGCCCCAGGTCACCTGGGAAGGGGGCGTCTGTTCCCCCTCCCCCACCAGACACCTCTCCCACATTCCCCACCGGTGCCACTGGGGCTGTAGGTTCCAGCCTCGCCTCCTGAGGGAAAGGGGGAGGTGGCCCTGGCTTGTGCCTAGAGGAGGGTCCTCTCGGGTCCCGGGGAGATTCCACGATGGCCAAGAGGAGGCCCCGAGACCAGCCAGGGCTCAGCCGGCAGGGCTCCCGGTTCTGTGAGCCACCGGTGGCTGGCCCTGGCTGTTTGTTTCCCTGGTGTTTCCTGTTTTCAAGCTGTAAAACCAAGGGACACAAGGTGAATGCAGCATCTCAGACCACCTGTGGGTGCGGGGGGCATTGCCGGGAGCCCAGGGGGGAGCCCCCGGCCCGCGCCCTACGGCTCTGTCTGCCACGGCCATGTCTCCCTCATCCTCCCTGCTGCAGCCTGTTTGTCTTGGTGCACAGGCCCCAGGGGAGCCTGGCAGAGCTGCGGGGTGGCCTCATGTCCCATTGGGCAGGAGGAGCACGGGGTGGGATCACCCAGGTACCGGCTCAGCGGGCCCCACGGCCTCTCCTGGCACCTGGGGTGCGCGGTTTCCAGGCTTGTCTCCCTGACACTCCCAAGTGTCTGGCTGGTCTCATATTTGCCACCTCTGCCACTGTGCCCCCTCTTTTCTTTGCTTTCCTCTTTTCATAATCATGACGAGTGGGCTCCAGGTTGGTAACCAAAGGTGGAGCCGCCCCGGTCAGGGTGCTGGCGTGGTTGGGGAGAGGGGGACCGCCGGCTCTAGTCCATCGGGGTGCTTAGCTCAGCCTCTGGTGTTGGCAGGAAGGCCCCGTCAGGGCCAGACGCAGGAGGGCCTCTTGCCCTTCAAGAAGGTGACGACTATCCAAGGAGGGGGGCCTCTTCCCATGCACCCAGGCTGCCAGGTTGAGTGTTAAACATGAAGTCAAAGAAACCACGGGGAATGTTACATAAGAAGTCAGAGACGTCATGGGCATTGTGGCTGCCCAGCAGCCGCCCCCAGAGGAGGGGCCCCTCATGACGCTTGTCTCTCTGCGCTGTGGGTCTGACTGGAAGGTGCGTGCCATGAAGGAGGCCATGGCTTCCCGGCACTCCCAGGCCCAGCTCCCGGGTTTTCTTGCCACCCCGCCCGCCAAGACTGGGCGCGCTCATTGTCAATGTCTCCCTGAGGCCCAGGACAAAAGTCAGACGCTGTGGGGGGGGCGCTGCTGTGGGCCCCACGGGCTCCTGCATTCGGGATGGAGCGGGATTAGAGTGTGCCATCGGGAGACAGGTGTTTCCTTTATGCCTCAGGGCTGGAGAGAAGCTCGTCATTAAGTGCCACATTCAGTGGGGTCTCCGGCACAGGCTCGCTGGAGGGCTGGGTTTTGTTGGGGCTTCGTTTTTACATCTGACCCCGGCCAGCTGGAGTGCCTTGTTTTAAGCACGGGGTAACAGCTGACATAACATAACGGGGCTCGGGCTGAGCAGGCAGCCGTGTCGCCGGGTGCGGGTGGGGGCCTGGCACCGCACTCTGCGTGGGGGCTCCCGGCGGGCTGCCCTGGGGAAGTCGTCAGGGATAATAGGATGAGCCCGCAGGGCCTCGTGGCCGTGGGGCGCGGCGCAGTGGGGTCCGCCAGCTGTCGCAGCCGGATGAGTGGGCTGACCGAGTGGCTGGTCGCTGAGCGGGGGCTGGAGGCTGTGCAGGTGCCAGAATAATCGCCCCAGGATACTGCATTCAGATGGGTTATAATCACGTTCTCTGCCTCCCCAGGTCACGCAGAATGGAAACCAGAGGCCCCGGCTGTGCAGCCATTGAAGTGTGTCATTGTGTGACTTCAGGGCGGAAAGAAGGGGGCTCAGTGCAGCCCTGCAGGGATGAGGGCCGCCCTCCCGTGCACCCAGGCCCCCGGCCCCTGCCTCACTAAGCTGACCTCGGGGCAGGGCGCTAAGACTCCTCCACTGTATTTTGGCATGATGGCTGGGTGTACCGCGTGGGCGAGCGGGGCAAAGGGAGCCGTGGGTGACCCCCCAGGGAGATGCCCTAGACCTACGCCAGCCCAGTGTGCCCGGACCACTGCCCGTCAGCTCCTTCTGGCCCCTGGGCTGGCCCCAGCGGGGCTCAAGAGGACTTGGTGACACCTGTAAATGCAGAAGAGGCCCAGAAACCCTTCTAGCATCTTTAGGGTTGTGGGAGTTGGGGGCGATGGTCCCCACCCCGAATGCATGGGCCTCTCCTGCAGGTGGTGGTCCTGGATCCTGCAGATCTCCTGGTGCCTGGGAAGGAAGGCAGGCTCTGGGCCTCGGCCTTCGTAGCGTCACCGCCCCTTGGGTAGTGGCTGCAGGCAGAGACCCTCAGCCTGAGGCTCATGGTGACCGGCTCCACATTTGCATTTTAAAGTGGATCCAACCACCACGGGCCTAAGAGAAGCTCCCTGTGCTGAAAACCATGCTGGGGTGGCTGCGAGCTGTTTTCCCAGCTTGGTCAAGGTCAAGGCAGCTGAAGTAGCAGGTTGGGGAAAACGTGCCTGGTGCAGCCTGGATGCCTAATTGAGAGGCAAGCATGCTGAGGCACACGCCTACGCAGACATGCACACAGAGGCACATACAGACTCAGCACACACAGTCACACAGATGCAGCAGAGGTACACACACACATACACGGGGACAGGCGCACACGGAGGCACACGTGTGGACACACTCACGTGGCGTGCACGTTCAGGCACGTACACGTGTCTGCATGCACACGTGCACACGAGCACGCTCAGCCCGCAGCTTCGGGCCAGCAGGAGGGAGACCCCCCTCGGGGCCACGTTCCATTTGCACATTTAATCCAGAAACTGTCAGCACGGGAAGCCTGGACGAGAACAAAATGTCAAGTGTGTGCTGAGAGGCGCAGCCTGCCCCCTTCCTGGCGGGCGATGATCTGGTCAGTTTCCGAGCACGATGAGCTGAGAAGAATTTGTGCATTCAGAGCAGGGTTCGCGGGGGGACCTGGGGGAGGGCGCGCGCCTTTATTTCATTTTCAATTCCTCGAGCTGGGCCTGTGTGGCTTCTCCCTGACCGTTCTCAGAGCCCGGCTGGGGAGGGTGGGGACTGGGCTGGGATCCGTTGGCTCCTCATTTCTCAGTGTTGCTGACGCCCTGAGGTCCCCGGACCTGGCGATTGCTGAGGAAGTCTGGCCTTGACCACAACCGCCCGCCCTGGTGACCTCACTGTTTTCAGGGTCCCTGCTGTCCAGATCCTCTGAACTTTCCCCACACACCCTCCTTATGCTCGGGGTCTCTGTCTTCCTCTCAGGCTCGAGGTTGTTTTCTTTGTCATGATGATATCTGTCAGACCAGTAGTGGCCCTGGGACGTTGGGACAATGCCCTCTCATCTGGGGAGTATGTAAGAATCTCCCATCTCTCCCCAGTGTTCACAGTGCCCGTCATAAGGTTCCGTCACTGGTCCCCATGAAAACGGGCAGCCAAGGGGGCTCGGGGGGCCCCTGGAGGCCTCTGTACCCCACTTGAGAAAGGGTGGCAGTGGGGCAGCAGGCCTGGGGCCCCCAGGGCTCCACCGTTCCTGCTTGGGGACCTGAGAGGTGCACTGTGCTGGGTCTGGCTCTCCCAGGCCCGGAGCCGGGCTGTGTGCAAGAGGGAGACTCCTGGGAGGTGGTGGGGTCCAGACCCCAAGACTGCCTGGCTGGCCCACACACGTTCCCGCCCCTCTCCGGGCTGTGGGAGTGGGCATGTACGGTGTGGTGGAGGTTCTCAGCCCAGAGCTGACAGGCTCGAGGGCCAAAGGGACAGTGGGGGACAGTGGCCTCCTCTTCCTGGCAGGGTGGAGTGGCAGGGGGGGGGTGCTGGGGAGGTGGGTGGGAGGGCCGTCCATACACAGCAAGGCGCAGGGTTGGGAGCCAGTGACCTCAACGAGAGGTTTATTTGAAGCACCTGAGTGGAAATCCAACAGGGAGAGACGGACAAACAGACCTGTGTCTGCAGTGGCAGCACGTGTGCCTGGATCTACACAAGACGCTGTGGCCTCCGGCTTATTTCCTCTGCTCACTTAAACCAAAGCCAGTTCTCTGGAGTATCATTGACGCGTGATAGACCGCCATATTTATTGCACACAACCTGATAAAACTTGACACGTGTCAACACCGTGAGACCGTCACCGCCATCAGGATGGCAAACACACCCATCACCCCGAAAGTGTCCTTGTGCCCTTGAGATCCTTCCTCCTGCCCTCCCCATTCAGGAGGTAACCACTGGTCTCTTTCTGTCAGGATAGATTGGTTTGCATTTTCTAGAGTTTTCTACAAGTGGACTCATCCGCTGGTACTCTTTCTGTCTGGCTCCCGTCCCTCAGCATCATTATTCTGAGGTTCGTCCAGGTTGCTGCGTGTGTCAGAGTCCATGCTTTTTAATTCCTGAGTTGTATTCCACGGTATGATGAGTCACTGTGGGTTTATTCATTCATACGTTGATGGGCATTTGGGCCTTTTCCAGTTCTGAGCTATTTATAAATATGTTTGTGTCCAAGTCTTTGGATGGACTTGTGTTTCCTTTTTTCTTGGGTAAATGCCTAGGAATACGGTGGCTGGAGAATATGGTAGGTGTTTATTTAACTAGTTAAGAAACTGACGAACTGTTTTCTGAAGTGGCTGCATGCACCATCTTGCATAGCATCCTCACTGACACTTGGTATGGCCGGTCTTTTTCATTTCCCCACCCCTCTAAAAAGTGGGTAGCGGTATCTCGTTGTGTTTTAATTTTCATTTCCTAATGACTAATGAGGTTGAGGATCTTTTCATGTGCAATTTAAGCAGCTTCCGTGTAACTTCTTTGGTGAAGTATCTTTTCAAATCTTTTGCCTGTTTAAAAAATTGACCTGGTTGTCGTCTTATTACTGAGTTGCGAATGTTCTTTGTATAGTCTAGGTACATGGATCCATGTTTTACAAATATTTTTCCCCAGTCTGTTGCTTTCCTTCTCGTTTATTTAATAATGTCTTTTAAAGACTAGAAGTTCTCAATTTTAATGAAGTCAAATTTACTGCTTTTTCCTTTTTTGTGCTGCTCATGCTTTTTGTGGTATCTTTAAGAAATCTTTACCAAACACATGATTAGTAAGACTTTCTTCTGGTAGTTTCATTTTAGTGTTTACATTTAGGTCCATAAGTTAATTTTTGTATACTGTGTGAATTTTGGGTTGAGGTTTATAATTTCTTACATGAATGTCCAATTATTCTAGGACTATATGTTGAAAAGAATATCTTTTACCCATTGAATCACCTTGACGGCTTTTTAAAAACTCTGTCATAAAAATGTGGATGTATTTTTGGATGCTCTATTCTGATACATTGATCTCTTTACGCCAAAATCTGTCTTTATGTCAATACCACATTGCCTTGATCACTGTACCTTTGGAAGTCTCGAAATAAGGTAAATCCTCCAACTTTATTCTTCTCTTTCAAGTTGTTTCCATTATTCCAGATCCTTCCCATTTCTGTATAAACTTCAGAAGCTGCTCGACAATTTTTGTAAAGAAGCATGGTGGGATTCTGTTTGGGACAGCATCGAACCCAGAGATCAACTGGGAGAGAGTTGATCTCTTACAATATTGAATTTTCTGAACCATGAACATTGTATATCTTTCCATTTATTTAGATCTTTAGTTTTGGTCAGAGACGTTTTGTAGTTTTCAGTGTAGACGTCTTGCACATCAGTGGTCAGAAACCTAAGTATTTCATTTTTTAAAAATTTCTTTGTTCATTTTGATTCTTCATTGCTAGTATTTAAACTGTGATTAATTTTGATATATTTTTCTTACATCTTGAGACTTTTCTAAGTCACTTCTTAGCTCTAGTAGCTTTTTCTGTGGATTCCATTGATTTTTTTTTACATTGGTGATCGTGTCTGCAAATAAAGGCAGTCTTACCTCTTTCTCTCCAATCTGGATGTCTACTATTCTTCTTACTGATTGCGCCAGCCAGCCTCTCCAGTACGTTGTTTATTAGCGGTGGAACAAGTGAACATCCTTGCCTTGTTCCCAGTCTTGGAAGGAAACGCATTTAGTCTTTCACCATCAAGTGTGATGTTAGTAGGTTTCTGTAAATATCTTTTATCAGGTTGAGGAAATTCCCTTCCAAAACTAATGCTGAGAGTTTTTTTTTTTTTTTTAACATGAATGGATGTTGAATTTTTTCAAATGCTTTTTCTATATCTCTTGAGATGATTATACTTTTTTTCTTCTTTACTCTCTTCATATGGTGAATTCTATTGATTGATTTTCAAATGTTAAACTAAACTTGCATTCTCCTGGATAAACCCTACATGGTCTGTTGTTTCACCTTTTTTTATATATATATATTATTGGACTAAATTTTGGACTAAATTGGACTAAATATAAATTGGACTAAAGATAGCTAAAATTTTGCTAAGAACATTAGCATCTAAGTTCATGAGAGATATTGTCCATAGGGTTCTTATGTTTTTGCTCCTGATGTGAGAGTAAGGCTGGCATGACTGAGCTGGGGGGTGCTCTCTCTCCCCTCAGGAGGACAGTTTGTGTAGAACCAGTCTGCTTTCTTCCCTATGTGTATGGTGGAATTTATCAGTAAAGTTGTCTCGGCCTGGACTTCTCTTCATGAGAAGTTGTTAACTAGATTTTGAACATATTTAGGAGATATAGTCAGGTTATCTATTTCTTCTTGAGTGAGCTTTGGTATTTTGTGTGTTTGACGAAATTTGTTCATGTCACTTAAGTTGTTAAATTTATTGGGATAAAGTTGTTCATAATATTCCATTATTATTCTTTTAACATTTGTAGAATATGTAATGCCTCTTCTCTTGTTCCTGATATTGGTAATTTGTGCCTCTTTTTTAATATATATATATGTACATATATATGATCAATGTGGCTGGAGTTTTAGCGACTTAACTGATCTCAAAAAATCACCTTTTGATTTGGGATTTTGCTGAATTTTTTCTTTCTTTTTTTATTTCGTTGATTTCTGCTCCGATTTTTATTATTTCTTTTCTTCTGCTTACTTAGTTTGCGCTCTCATTTCTAGTTTATTTAAGGTGGAAGCTGAGGTCATTGATTGGCAAGCCCTCTTCTCTTCTGCTCTGGGTCTTTGGTGGTATACCTTTGTTTCTAAAGACCACGTTAGTCACATCCCACAGATTTTAGTGTTTCATGTGATTTTCATTCCATTCAAAATGTTTTCTAATTTCCTTTTTGATTTCTCCTTTGATGCAGGAGTTATTTAGTTGTGTATTACTTTCTAAACATTTGGAGATCTTCAAGATACCTTCTTGTTATTGATTTCTACCTTAATTCCCAGGTGGTCAGAGAAAATGCTTAATATGATTTGCGTCTTTTAAAATTTATTGACACTTGTTTTATGGCCCAGCATATGGTTTCTCTTTGTAAATATTCCATTTTCCAGTTGAAAAGAGTGTGTATTCTGTTGTTGTTGGTAGGACTGTTCTGTAAATGCCAGTTAGGTCACTGTGGTTGATGGTGTCGTCCAGGCTCTTGTCCCTTGCTGGTTTTCTACTTGTTCCGTCGATTATTGAGAGAGGAGCATCAAAATCTCCAGTCATAATTGTGGATCTGTCTTTTCGTTCTTCCAGTTCTTATAGTCTTTGCTCGATGTATTTTGACGCTTTGTTATTCGGTGCATTAATATTTAGGATTGTTAATGTCTTCTGGATGAATTGACCCAGTTATCATTATGAAATGGCCTTCTTTATCTCCGGTAATTTTCTTTGCTCTGAAATCTGCTTTGTCTGATGTTAATATAGCCACTTCAAATTCTTTTCCTTAGTGTTAGTATGGTATATCTTTTTCATTCATTTTACTTTTAACTTATTTGTGTCATTCTATTTAAACTTGGTTTCTCTGTGGAGCATATCGTTGTCTTATTTTGTGAGTCAAATTAAAAATATTTTTCTCTTAAAGGATAAGTTAAGCTCCTTTGCATTTATTAACCTGTCCGGTGTTCTTGGTCTCGCCTCTGTCGTGGTCTTTTATAATTGTGTAATTTGTCATCCTTGCTGTGGGAGTTTTCGCTACAGGATATGTATTCTTTGCTCTTTAAAAATGTTTTGATATTGAGGAAGTCTTGTCCTTTTGTTCTAATAGTTACTTTGTACTTACACCTTTTAAGATTCCTGTAATGCCTATCTTCTCACTTAACCCTTCACTGCCTGGCTTATTGGTTTGTATCAATATGCCCCAAGTCCCACCTTGTCCTGTGCTGCAAACAACGAGCTTATTCCACTTTCCTCTTCTATGAGTTTCAGGCGGCACAAACCCAGGATGGACAGCTGAGTACTCAGAGGGTGACAAGTGCTAAGTGAGGTGGGTGGTGGAGGGGCGTCCTCAGGCGAGGGGTCGTAGTTGGCCTCGCTGAGCAGGTGACTGGGGCGTCGGTGTGAAGGTGAAGGACCGAGTCTTGCAGATACTTCGGGGCAGAGGGGATAGCACGCATCAAGACCCTGAGCGAGTGTGTGCATGGCGTGTGTGGAAGGGGTCAAGAGGGGCCCAGAGCAGGGTGGGAGGGTGAGGGCAGGGCAGGGCCTGGCGCGCGGGGCCTCGG